GTTTTGGCTGGGGCTGGGTTTGAACCCGCCACCCTTGGTATATGGGGCCAGTGCCCCATTCACTGAGCCACAGGTGCTGCCCATTCTTTCTTTTTTCTTTTTGAGACAGAGTCTCACTATATTGTCCTTGTTAGAGTGCTGTGGTGTCACAGCTCACAGCAACCTCAAACTCCTGGGCTCAAGGGATTCTCTTGCCTCAGCCTCCCAGGTAGCTGGGACTACAGGCACTTACCACAATGCCTGGCTATTTTTTTGTTGTAGTTGTCATTGTGGTTTAGCAGGCCCAGGCTAGGTTCAAAGCCACCAGCCCCATTGCATGTGGCTTGCGCCCTAACTACTGAGCTATGGGCACTGAGCCTAATGTCTGCTTTTCTGGTACGTGCATTGCCATTTTCATTGAGAAATGCTGTCACTTAATAGCTATCTAACTAACATATGAGACATCTAAAAAATAGATACCTTGCATTTGATAGTTAAACTCTTCACTATGGAGACCTGAGAAAGATAATAGTCATTAATAGGTATTTTCACATACAAGAAACAGTAAAGAAGGAGAAATGCAATCTTGAGAACAAGAAATAGCTAAAGCCTGATGGAAAAGAGATATATAAGCATCTGTGAAACTAAAGACACTTGTGGATGAGGAGTGGTTCATACACACTTTTTTACCTCTTGTTTCAGAGGCTGCAGTAAAGCTGCTGCTTTGCTCTTCATGTTCCCTTGTAGGCCTTGAATAAGTATATACTGACTGTAATGTTGATGTGTCTGCCTCACAGATCTTTTACTACTGTAATTGTGGTAGAGATTTTATAGAGACCCAAAGTATTTTCTATCAGTTTTGTGAATGTTGAAGAAGGAGCTTGATACTGGGATAAAGCCAGTTCTCACATAAAGGGATCATGGATCCTGAAAGCCAGACTTTTCTTGAGGAAAGAGAAAAATGTGAGCAGGGAGGGTAGTGAATGTTAGTTTGCTTTGGAATGGATGCTCTTGTAAGGTTTGTCACAGGGATGCATTTGTGCTTATCTGGGGGTGATGAGGAGTGGCAGGATGTTAGAGATTAGTGATGTGCATTTCCCGTTCACATATCCTCACGTTCTCCCTAACTTCAGGCT